TTTTTTTTGTCACGCGCGTAAAATTAAAACTATAAAGGGTCTACGGGGTCACTGTGCAGTATCGCATTTATTTTATAATTGACCCTTTATTGGTAAATAGATTAGATTGCAGTTCTCAAAACTATAAAGGGTCTACGGGGTCACTGTGCAGTATCGCATTTATTTGACCATTGACCCTTTATTGGTGAATAGATTAGATTGCAGTTCTCAAAACTATAAAGGGTCTACGGGGTCACTGTGCAGTATCGCATTTATTTTATAATTGACCCTTTATTGGTGAATAGATTAGATTGCAGTTCTCAAAACTATAAAGGGTCTACGGGGTCACTGTGCAGTATCCCATTTATTTTATAATTGACCCTTTATTGGTGAATAGATTAGATTGCAGTTCTCAAAATATTTCTCAATCTGCGTCAAAATATATGTGTACATTTCCAAAATATATGTGTACATTTCCAAAATATATGTGTACATTTCCAAAATATATGTGTACATTTCCAAAATATATGTTTACATTTCCAAAATATATGTGTACATTTCCAAAAAAAAACGTTAATGTGTGGAAAAATTACACTTTTTTGTTGCATAAGGATCCAACCAAATACTAACTACCAAATTTGAAGAATAATTAAATAAAAGTATAAGTAATGATTTAAGGAGATTTGTGAACTAAAAAACAAATTTGCGAAAATCAAATTGTATCTTTTTATTTTTTATCTGTATCCAATTAACACTTGAACAGTTGTTAATTCCTCTTGACCAGGGCAAAATAAAAAGTTATGACTCGGCCTAAAAAATTGGTGAATTGTTAGCATATCTGCTTATAGATTAAAATGTATCAGAAGGAGGAAAATGTATATAAAGGAGTCATGTTATCAATTTCCAAAACATGTAATAAATATGTTTTTAGATAAGAATTGATAACTATAAAAATCGATAGTAAAGCTATTTTTAAACTTTATCAAATGTGTTCTTGATATATATATTTGCTCACACGACCACAAAAAAAAATTCATGGCCCAAAGTCAAAATATTAAATTTTTGCCTCAAATAATTATTTTATTGGGAATCAACATGAAAACAGGAAAAATTGAAAAATATTTATTATTTATAAATTATTATTTTAAAATGTACAAGGCATGCAGAAAGTTCAACAATCTATAGATCAATATAAATAAGTAGGTATAACCAAGGATGTAAGGCAAGGAAAGTTATTTTAGAAGTGTACACATCTTTTGTACTGCAGTGTACTGTTTCTGGGCGCAAATGTAAACACAAGACGGATGTCGAAGCCTGACATGGGATCCATCTTTAACATAAAAAAATCAATGAAATATTCTGGTCATAGGAACTATTATGTGAATTATCAAAATTATCAAAATTTAATGCTTTTAACCTCCTCGGATACTAAACGAACACTGAGGCATCTATTATTGTTTACAAATTCCGCCCAGAGAGAACTGGTTTCAATATGTACACAGAGTATACACAACCGCAATTAACTTTCCTTGCATTACACCCTTGGATATAACAGCACAGATTTTAGTTGAAAGAAAGAAAACAAATTGAGCAGCCTCAGACCATAACTTTTTAACTTATGTCCCCTCCCCCCGGCATCATGCATATGCATAGAGTTAAGATAAACTAAAATCCAAAGATGCAACATCTGTGTATTGTTTTAAGGAATAAACGGGTCATATTTCCCATTGACGTCAACCAGCTCTAATCCCTCCGTTCTTCACTGATATCATATTGACGTCACGATACAACCAACTGTTTGGACCAAATTCATCTTCTACTTACCAGAACCTGCACACTCTTCCTAACTTGAAACTTTATACATTTTTAAATATTTATATATATACAGTAAGAACCAGAAAGTTTTGGAAAAGGAAGAAGACATTGAATCAATACTTAGGTGTATTTTGATGTTGTTTCAAAGCAAAAAGTCATTTTTTTGGACTAAATTGGCTGAATATTTTTTTTCAAAAATCGATATTTTTTAAAATGCGAATTTGTCTTCATCAAAATCTAACGTGCAATGTCGTACACTTCAGAAAATCCCAAATATATGCTTGAATAAATTGGCATCGAAAAAAAATTCTCTTACCCTGCACTAAACTCTACTATATCTTCGGTCAGTGTACTGCAAATTACTGCAGAAAGCACCGAAAGCTTGGTTGAGGGTGTCTTTAAAGCTGGATTTTTAATGTTATTCCTGGAAAATCCGGTAAATTTGGTTTCCTTGTTTGTTTGTTTATAAACAGTTTTGATCCAAACGTAAAATGGTTGAATCAACCGGCCGGGGTCAACATTTTACGATACCAGATTTGTTTCTTTTGAATTTTAAAAGTCAGGTAGCATCCTACATCTCTTTCAATTTGCGTTGCAATCAAAATATTTCGAGATTTGACACTTTTTTTTAATAATTCAGAAAATTGATTCGAATTTTGCCGAAATCGATTTTCAAAGTTTAAGCTATGAAGGTTTTACAACTATAGTATATACTTTGAAGTGTCACAGGGGGTATCTAAAATAGTTTTTAAATTTCATTTTGAACATTTTATTCCTTCTCTCTAATTTAAAATGTGTCAAACTCTTCAAATAAACGCGACGTCATCTGAAATTCTTTCTTAATTAACATCAAAATGAGATGGAAGAGGGATTCTATTAAATATTCAAAAAACATTCGTACTTTCTACTTCTCAGTTGCATAATATTATTTTTCTTTTCTTTACAAAATAAGTTGTTCAGTTGAAAAGCAGAGCTTTTTAAACAAATTGGTTAAATAATTTATAATAATAATAATTTAACCTAACATTCAAGTCTCTTTAACACTTGCCTCAATCTAAATCTATAAGCTGGATTCAAACACAGAAATATCCTTAATCTAATTTAAATATTACGAATTTTGACTACATTAAGAAAGGGCTTAAAAACTGTATTGAGGGGCGAGGAAAACCGGAAATGAAAATGGTTTGCAATCAAAAGGGGAGATACTTTATCCAGCAGCATTTTAGGCAAAAATAAATATTTAAAACTAGACAAACCTCATGTTTTACATCATCTCAAATCAAAAATTGTTTTCTGAAATAAAAAATTATTTTTTGAAATAAAAAATTATTTTTTGAAATAAAAAATTATTTTTTGAAATAAAAAATTATTTTTGAAATATAAAATTATTTTTTTAAATAAAAAATTATTTTTTGAAAAAAAAAATTAAATGACAAAAACTGCTAAAGTTCAATTCATTTCATCAACAAACTAGCATGGAAACCCAGCTAGTTTTTTCTACAAATACATATAATCCAAATCAACTCACTCAACTTAGACTATATCAATGGGTTTACTGAATTCCCTTTTCAAAATTGGAAGTGAATTGGGGTGAAGTGGTATTGGACATCCAAACAAACAATTAGACTTACAGATATAGATTACATGTTCTATATCTTAATGAGAAAATATGAAGAGGGTGGAGGGGAGGCCAAGATGAATTGTTTATAAGATTATGTTTAATATATGAAAACTCTACGTTGTATCATTATTTTACAACCAAGGTGGATGTTTAGAACCTTATACGACTAAACTTTTCATATTTCAAATAGAAAAATTGTTTCACAATCCAAAAAAGTTGTGGCATTTACTATCATAATTATAATCACGAGTAGATACTTTTTATCGCAATATTTGTTAGTTCTGATCACGCAAATCATCCTTCAGGCCATTCTAGATCCCAAAAGATGTTTTTTCCAAAATCTTTAAATGAATCGTAGAACTTTTAATTTCAAAAGATCTGATTTTTTTATTTTCTTGGGTGGCCGGTAGATGGTCGTTTGCAGCATTTAAAAGAATTTATTATTATCATGTCAAAGGATTTAAGTCTTAGCCACAAACTCCAATTTTCTAATCCCTATATCTTTGCAACCTGATAGTATACCCCTTTGATATTTCAAACTTAGGTTACCTGATCTAACATAGTTCATAGCTTAACATATCTAAGTTCTACAGTATTGGGTTGCAAAACTTCACGCATAAAGTTTCTTTATTTTTGGAGATGTCCGGTAGATGATCGTTTACATCATTTATTTTGAATTTATTGTAAATATGTCAAATTTAATTTAGTCATGAACAAAAGTCATTTTTTGAAAGTTATGTTCAACTGATAAAAACTTTATGCTGGAAATTTTTAATTTATTTTATTTTTTGGGGGGTCGTTTACACCCTTTTTATGAATTTATTATAAATATGTCAAATTTAATTGAGCCATTAGCGTCTTGTATTTAAATCAGTTTAATTTGTTTTTGTCCCATTTTATATATTTTAGAAACAGATGTTGAACACTTAACAGTCTTAGATGGACCAGACGTACTGGTTCCCCTTTCCTCCCCTCTCCCNCCCATAGCCCCCTTTATAAAATCATATGATCTGTTTTACTTTTTTATAACGATCTCCGTGCTGGACAATATCAAAGTCGAAAATTTTTAAAGGCCTAATCGAATACAGATTTTAATCCGTTGATTATCATTCTTGTACATTCACTGTACCAAATATGATTTAAGAAGTAGTCTATTTAGGCTAACCAGGGTGATAAAGAAGTTGCTGAACTCAGTCTATGCAGTTCAATTTCTTCTTGTTCCATATTGCATTTACATTTTAAAAACCAACAAAAATTTAAAGGCAAGTGTTGATTAGTGTCTAAACATTAAACAAGGCGAAACTGAGAGCTAATCTTTTAAATTTTCGTGAGGTTTTAACAATCCGATGGAAAGTTTTTCCATTAAAACGAGTTTTTATTCATAAATATTTAATCCTATATTTTTGTTCTCAGAACTTAACTAGCTCTTTGCCCATTGTTGATTTATTTTGTATTCAACAAATTTCTTTATGTTCATTCAAAAGGTTGCTTGGGTTTAGACATTCAGACAGACAGAAATTTATCTTAAGATTTTCTCACTCGCGATTTAAATAAAGTAATTTAACTTTTATCTAATATTTATTAACTAAAACACAATAAAGTAGAAAGGAACTAAATAATCATTATCAATGTAAGTCTAATTAATAACGTCAGGTCGCAAGTTATTTTTATATAAAAATCTAGAATATGTATCTATTTATCTATCTACCTAATATTTACAACTCAGACGTAAGAAAATGACGTTTTCAGGGACGCAAGTACACATTTTAGAGTCAAATTTATAGGAACATCAAGTATTCTTAAAATAAAAAGAAATCTAAACTAATCATACTTCGATCAACGTAGTTTTTAATTTAAAAAAAAAACAAGTAAAAAATATTTCGCACAGCAAAATATATCTAAACTGGGTAAAAAAGGCAAAAGATCGCAAAAGAAAGGGTAACTAACTGTTGTCTTGGCATGAAAAAATGAATGAAGAAAGAAAGTTATAATTTTTTAGTTAATGGCTATATGCTAATTCCAAATTTATCTTAAAAGTAAATTATAATGAAATGATGTATTTCTGAATACCGATATAATGGTTGTTTTTGGATAGACGCTTTTCTTGTTTTTTGTTTGTTTATGTATTTGTTGTTGTTGTTGTTGTATGGTGAATATTAACTAAACCTAGGAGTGAGATCTTTGACATTACATATTAGGGAACTAGAAACCAGATTTATTGCCGCACAATGTACAGCAGAAAAAATATGCACCGAGTACACTGTACGGATTGAACATTGTTCATTGTACAGTTTACAGTGTACTGTGTGCAGCAAAGCACACGGTACTGCCATAATTTAACAGAATGTTTAGAATGCTTGCTTTCACATTCATTGCAGTTTAAAAATATGTACAATGCACACCAGAGTGTACAATGTACATTACAGCAAACATCATTACACTTTTGGTACACCGTACATCAATGTGTTAACAATGTATGCTTAGTTTTACTACAGAGATACACATATTCGCTGTTAAACAGCGTAAAATTCAATATAGATGTTACAATATGACAAAATAATAAGTACAATTTAAAAATTGGCTTAGCCACTAATAAACACGCATGTTACAGTACAACTTTTAACAGTAAATATAACTTATTTAAGATTAGTTCTTTTTACAATTCTTCTCCATTCGTTCCAGTGTTTTATTCCACGGGTATATGTTTCTCCAGACTTGGTAGCAAAATTAGAAAAAATAGAAAATTGAAAATTTTCCGACAGATTATCATCCCTTTTCCGGGTGAGGAACACTTGTGTTGAATTATCAAACTATGCTGTAAATGATGAAACTCCAGACCCATATTTGGTGAGCTGGATTCTCGGGGATTTTCTAGGGACACACTGTACAGTTTTAGTACGGCGTGGACTTACTCGGGACGCACTGTACAGTTTTAGTACGGCGTGGACTTACTCGGGACACACTGTACAGTTTTAGTACGGCGTGGACTTACTCTTTAAGAGTGCTATTTCACGGATTGGTGTATGTACATACTTTGACAATGACAGAATCTTGATTTCTACATAAACTCGTCCTTACACTGAACATTGGCCGGACGATTCTTGGATCATAGTCTCCGGACTAATATCTGATATGGTCGGACTATTTGTCATCCAGGGATGTGAAAGAATATCACTTAGATCAATTCTATCCTGAGGACGAATCCTAAGACACTGACGAATTAGATCCTGAACACCGGACGATGAGGTTCGTCTGAACTCCACCTTGGCTACACAGATCTGCTCGTCCTTCTCGAAGGGGATATCTCCCTGGACCATATCGAAGAGAAGGATACCAAGGGACCAGACAGTGGCAGGGTTGCCAAGGTACCTGGAGCAAGTTATCCATTCTGGAGGAGCGTATACGCGGGTTCCTGAAAAAATTATATATTAAAAAATGTAAAGATTTTTTCTTTCTGAACGAACACCTTTCTCTTATTTCTGGGACAAGTGTAGTACGATGAGAGAAAAAAATTGCCCTGAATTCTACTCCAGATATAAGCCTGAGCTGGCCTAGTTATATTTCAATTAAAATATGTTTTATTTACACAAATTAGTGTAGCATGACATGGGAAAAAACAGGCAGCAACAGGCAATGAATGAACAGCTTGCAACTGTAGATTTATCTTTAGATGTAAACATTGCTTTTCCATAAACTTATTTCAACATTTCTCTATTAAAGGTAGGTCTGGTGTAAGTACAATAATGAATTATAAAGCAATGAATGGCTTGGCTCCACAAGGCCGAAGTATAGTTTCAAGGCCTGCCTCCCTTCTCTAGCTTATTACGCAGATATCTCTGCACACACGCAACCTATCAGGCAGAAAACATGCATGAAGCAAAGCCAAGTTCCAGAATGTTCAGCACAATTTCCGGATACTTTATAAGTACGTACTTAGTAAGAATAGAATTGAAAAAGGTATAAAAGATATGTACTTAATCTATTTGTTGTATCCATGCAGAAATTGCATTAAGCCTAGATTAAATAGAAAAATAGCTGAGCTGCAGGAATGTTAAATTAAATGTAGAAAAGAAGATTAAAATTCTGGAAAACAGAAAGTTACCATTTTTTAGGAAAGATTTTGATTAAAAGGTAAATATTTTTTTAAAACTTTTAAATCATGATTGTTATCTGATATGTTTTAAAGGGGTATTCCATTAATCCACGTAATTATTTCTCTGTTTTTACTAATCTTTATTTATATCATGTCATGTTAAATAAAGTTAAAAGTGAACAAGTTAATCAAAGTTTATTTCGCAAGCGTTGGCTTTTTGCATCAGACATTAAATATTTATATAATGCACTGAACAACTGGCGCCATAACGTTGGACAAGATATCAATAATCTATAATTTCCTTTCAAGTTTAGTTTTCATAATTCCTTAAATACCTATTTATAATTTCAAAAAATCTTACCATCAAAATCAGTGTAAGGATCTTCTTTCAGCATAGCCCCAGATCCAAAGTCGATAAGTTTAAGCTGGCCTGTAGTCAGATCAACAATAAGATTCTCGTCCTTGATGTCTCGGTGAATCACTCCCTTATCGTGGCAAGCTATAACTGTCTCAAGCACCTGCCTAAAGAAGTTCCTCGCCAAATCTTCTTCAAGAACTTTTCTCTCGGTGATGAAGTCAAACAGATCCTTACTATTAGCAGGTCGCTCCATCACGTAAATAAATGAGTCGGTCCGCTCAAAGAAATCCAAAAGTCTAATCACATTAGGAACAGACTGGACGGAGTGTAAAAGTTTTAACTCCATGGGAACTCTCCTGCCCCCAACGATGGCCCAATCTGTAACTTTATTCTTAGCTACGTGCTTGATTGCGACTCCGAGAAGATCAGCACGTCGGACCCCGGCATACACCTTGCCAAACCCCCCTTTTCCTAGCACATCTCCTACACGGTACTCTCGTTCAAAACTTCTTGGTGCTCGAGACATGTCTCTCTTTCTAACACACTTAGTAGCACATGAATGGCATGAATCGAACTGTATTTTATTAACTACAGATTCTGTGGTGGTACACATTGTTTATGTATACACCTTTCTCAGTTTTTATATCACAAGGACAGAACATACGCGGCTCTCCATGAAAATTTGAATGTTTCTCTTGGGATGAGTTTGATATATCGTTTGTCCTCAATTGACGAAAGTCCGGAATAAACTGAAGTCATGTTTTGAAGCGGATTCTCGTTCTAAGAGTAGACGGCAGGGGTCGAAACTCTTTGCCATCTCCACCCGGCTCAATACTACGTAGAGTTCCAAAACAAGGTTCGAAGAAGGAATGCAGAGCTCCGTAGAATCAATCTGACACCATTTCCAGAGTGGGACACACAGAGTCGCGGGGCTGAGAAAGCCAAGATCTACTAGGTATATCCAGGCATTATAGGGGATACAGGGGGGGGGGGTGAACAGATTGACAGGTAGGCTGATACACTACAGATAGATTGATAGATAGATTGACAGATCTCCAGTCTGATAGTTAGATAGTTAGATAGGAAAGTATCAGTAATGAGGTGTAGGGTATAAACATTTCTCATTGACACGGACTCAACCTTAATCATGCTTGCTAGGCGAGCTAGGGTCTAGGGAGGGGAAAAGCAGTTTGGTTAATTTATTAAATTACGTTTAAATCTATCAAACACACGTTGACCTGTCTGGAAATTAAGACGTATGATACTAAAATATCTCTTCCAGGCATAGGAGGAGGAGGTGGAGGAGAAGTAGGTGAAGTCGGAGGTGAATCAGGTGGAGGAGGAGAAGAAGGAGACGATCTGGAGAAAAGGTGAAGATAGAGAAAAAGAAGAAAAAGTAGAAGGAAACGATAAAAAGAAGAAGATGATGATCAAGGAGAACAAAAATAAGAACAAGAAAAAGGAAAAGAGAAGTGAGTAAACTTGTTACATAATGCTTTATAAAATTACTTTAACCGGCTAACACTTATCATTCTATTTTGTTGATATTTACTTTAAACTCTTCAGATCCAAGATATCTCCGAAATCTATAGAAGCAAATTAAATATCTAAAAACAGATTTTAAATTCTTAATAGATGGAAAAACTTGTGGTTTAAATGAACATTGTTGAAAAGGGGTTGGATACAAATAACAGTTAAACATGTTTGCTTGTAAGATAATTAATATTTTCTCTTTGTAATTTGATCCAATTCAACAAAAACTTGCCGTAAAAAAGATATATTACGCTAGTCTTTCATTAAGATTTTTATTTATCATCATCTGTTTACAGAATAAATCGCTTATAGCCTGATAAGCGCAATCAAAGGATTAGATCAGAGCTGGGAACTTTAGAATGGTGGATATCAAGATCAATTTGTGACTGATCCTCGCTTTCTCTTAATCTTGATATTATCCTAATCTTGTGTTTATATACTGAAAAGTGTATAAAATTCAACAAATCAGAGGGGCGTATCAGAAGCCGGGAAATTTGAAATCTTGCGTGCCGTTTAATGGGTTCTCTCAGTTAAATAAGATTTATATGTAGAGACGGGGGATTTGAAAAACCGGTTTTTGATTTGTCTGTACTATATCCAAAAAGAGTCGATTAAGCAAGAAATTAAAAGTGCCCACAATGGATATTCAGATTAAGTGATCGGGATAAAAGGTATCCAATTCTAAAGTTCCCAGCTCAGGACTAGGAATGAATGAAAGATGTGCAAATAAAAATAGCAATAATGAAAAAATTAAGTTAATGATGAATTCCAAAAAAAAGTATACATACATAACAATTAATAGAGACATGAAAATCATAAGAAAAAATGAATAATTCTGAATACTAAATGTAAGAAGAATAAATTGCCAAGGATGAATGACCTCTAAATTTTTAAAGGATGAAGGATGAATGAATAAGGAACGAATGAAAGTAATGATGAACTTTAGAAAGAGAATGAATACCAGGCGGGCAACTAGACATTCAGCTAGGAAGGCAAAGAGCAATAACCTCGCGCGTAATGCAAATATTTTTTTATTGCCCCCCCCCCCTTTTCCAGGGGCAAATTTGTGTGGGAAGAATCTTAAACTATATTTCATGGGCAATTTTTTTTTTAGGGGAAATTTCTTTAGTTGGAAGAAATCTTAAATCTTTGTTTTTGGGGGGCTTTTTTATTTAAGGGCATTTTTAAAATAAATAAAAGGGCTCTTTTTTAAACTAAGAATTAATTTTATTTTTTTATTTTTTTATTTATAAAACATTTGGGGATAAAAAATTTAATTTAGGTGCAAATTAAAAATATTTGGTGGAATTCTAAAAAAAGCAAGGGTTACAAATGTTGATGAAAGGAGCAAATTTAAGTCTGGTTGTGCAATTTAAATAAGAATGTGTGAGTGTAATTTAAAAAGTGAAGGTTTCAAAAAAAAACCTCGGGGTGCATATCTTAAAAAATTTTCGTGAAAATTAGTTGTTTTGGAACTATATATGGACCCTTATTAAAGAGTTCTTGCCCCCCCTGCAAGCTTTCTAATGGGGGCATGCCCCCCTAAATCAGGCTAGTAGGGCCTGGCCCCCATGCCCCCCTAGTTGCACGCTAAGTCTGGTTGGGCAATTTGAATAAGAATGTGTGAGTGTAATTTAAAAAGTGTTGGTTTAAAAAAAATACCTCGGGGTGCATGACCCCACCCCCCCCTTAGTTGCTCGCCTGATGAATACTGAATAAAATAATCTGTGAATAGTGAACGAATAAAGAAATAAAGTAAAAGTAAAGCATGTGTGAAGGATGAATAAATTAAGAATGAATAAAGTATGGATAAACTGTAGACAGAGAATGAATGAATGATGAATAAATGCAAAGAAAAGGAAACGAATAAGGTATCCGGAAACATGTTTAAAATCAAGACAATAAATGTATGAAATTAAGGCAGTGCAGGGGCATTATGGGAGGGAGGGGGGTAGTAGTCAAACCTACTAATTACGTAAATTTTGAAGGGTTGAGGTGGATCTTGAATAAAGGGAGAGGGAAGTAAGGAAAAATATAAAGAATTAGAAAATTAGATTAATGTCAAATAGAAAAATTTGTAGAGGAAAAAAATGTTCAAAAATAAAATGTTCAAAAATTTATAGTTCAAGAACAAGGAAAATAAAATAAAATTGTTTACTCTTTTATCAAAAATTTTGAAATTAAAAGTGTTTTGGCTTTAATTTCAAGAATAAACTATAGATAAAAATTGTATTTACATTTTTACCTGCCCACTCAGTCTTTGGCACAAACTCAAATTTACAATCCCTATAATATCGTTGCAACTTTTGCAAATTTTGGTATTTCTAACTTATAATTTATAGTTTGAAATATCAAAGGTCTGCGAGATGTTGGGTTGCAAAGATATAGAGATTAGAAAATCAGAGTTTGTGGCAAGAAGTCCATTTCTTCGACCCCCCCCCCACAAAAAAAATCTAAAGTTGCCCCATGGAATCAATGGCGTGACCTGTGTTTGATCTCTGTAAAACATCCTTCGTAGAATTAGCACGCTATATATTTATATATAGGAAAGATTTCTTACATCTGTAAACCTTTTTATTTTATGATTCTACCTCGAATCCTAGAATTTAAATCTCACAAATTTAAATATACATCTAGTTATTATATCAAGAAAACCCATGAAAAGATGGTTCAATTTGTGGTCGAAGAAATGGTTAGATTTTTGGTTGGTTATATTTGGTTCTCATATTTTTATATTTAGTCATATAGTTACTTCCGCCGTTTTCCCGCGCTTGGTCCTAAATTACGATTTTAGCTATCTTTCCCTATAAAAGTCGACCCACTCAATTTAGAATCTCAAAATCAAGCTGTAAGACATTCCCGTGGTTCTCCCGAGTTTCCCAATCAAAATTTTAGGCAAATCGGTCAAGGGGTCATGAGTTATGATCGGACATACAAACAAAGAAACATGCAAACAATCAGAGATTATCACTTTATATTTATAGATATCTGACGACTGGAGGTTATCATCTAAAATTATTACGTCTAAAGACAGAAATAACAAGAGAGATGCATTTTTAGTTTATTTAAACTTAAATCTCTAATCTAAACTTAGAATGATGTTTGAGTCGAGTCTATGGCGTATATCCGAGAATCATATTTTTGGAAAAATGTTATAATTAATGCGAATAAATTAAAACTTTTTGTAGACTATCACTTTTCTTTTCATACATTTTTTTTCTTTTGCCAATTTTTCTTTTCCTTTCTTCTTACTGTTGTCATTATTCTACTCAATTTTTACTTTTTAAATTTTTTCTTAAAATTAAAATTTTTTTGATTATTAAAATGATTTTCTTATTTAAATTTAATCTTCCCGTTCCTCTTGTTCTTTCTAATCTTCTTTAGCTAGCTGTTCTTTCTTTACTTGCTTTTATTTTCTTCTTGCTCTTCCTGGTCAACTTGTGCTTGTTTGTTTTCTTGTCCCTTTTTGTTATTGATTAAGGTGTTTTGTAGTTGTTGTCATTCTTCTTTTCTTCTTATATTTTTAAATCTATATTTAAAGTGTAAGTCAGTTAGTTAGAAAACAGATTTCAAGAAGATAACTTTTATAATTGGTTTTAATAACCAAATAAATTATGTTTAGAACTCATTTAAAGGACTTATATTTCTTTTTAACAAGTATGGAATACAGGTGCAAGATGCAAAGGTCTAGTGCAGTTAAGAACATTTTAAGACTGTATAAAAACTATGCAAAAATAATTGTGCAAATAAGAATATATTGTTTGATCGATCTGACAACGTTAAAGTTTTTTTTATAAAAAAATGGATACAATTATTTTAAAGTTATTTTAGCAGGCGTTGTTGTTGTAAAGTTATTTTAGCAGGCGTTCTATAGTGCTGTCAATCAAGCAGTTATCATTTTTTAATAATTGAAAAAGATAGAACAAGCATTACTTCTATAAATAAAAAGCTACCATGGCTGATTAGCATAATTTTGCACAAACGTTTTGACCCCTAATCAACATTTTTAACGTCGAACTAAATTTAGTTGCAAATCTTAAAAGTTTTAAATCATAACTCCTCTCCTTTCAGAGCTTTTGAAAATAACAAAAATGTTTTGGATTTCTAATATGAACCTAATAAATAAGTATGCTACGTGGTCACAAAGTCGTACCGTTAATGTAGCATAAATTTGATCTTTTCCTTCTGTCTAGTTCACAGTAATGTAGGGATTGGAACCTGA